TAAAGATATTTATGAATTAATTATTAAAATTGTTTTAAAAGAGAATCAAAAGATGACAGTTATGTCAAATTATGTGAAGTGATTTTTAAATAACAATAATTTTTTGTTAATAATTTAATGGAAAATGTGATTTTATTTGTTTAAACAAGATCGATTTAATGTTTTAAAAGAAATATCTACTCAGGATTAAAGATATTTATAAATTAATTATTAGAATTGTTTTAAAAGAGAATCAAAAGATGGCGCTGATCAACAGATGACAATTAAGTGAAGTGATTCTTTAACAGCAACACTTTTTGTTAATAATTTAATGGGAAATGTGCTTTTATTTGTTTAAACAAGATCGATTTAATGTTTTAAAACAAATATTTACTCAAAATTAATGATTATTTATAAATTAATTATTAAAGTTGTTTAAAAAAAAATCAAAAGATGGCGCTATTGTGGTGAATTTCGTAAAAATGAGGAGATAATTAAATTTATTACAAACAAACAAATTAACCTTAATTTCTATTCAATACTAATTAAAATTAAGGTTAATTTATAAATAATATTAGCAATTTTTAGATTATTTGAATTAAGCGAAGTTAGCAACCTTCATAACACTAAGTCAAACTTTGACAGTTAATGTGAAAGTGGTTTTTAAGCATTTAAAACGTTTTTAATTAAAAAATGCTTTATTTAGTTAGTGTAATTAGCTATAATTCGTGAATTTAACACCCAATAATAAAGGTAAGCGAAATTTATGATTTATTTATGATAAAAATCGTGTTAAGTGAGATGTTTCAAAAAATTGTAATATTTTTGTTATTATTTAATGAGAAATGTGATTTTGTTCGTTTAAACAAGTTCGATTTAATGCTTTAAAACGAATATTTACTCAAAACTAAAGATGTTTATGAATTAATTATTAAAATTGATTTACAAGAGAATCAAAAGATGGCAGTTATGTCAAATTATGTGAAGTGATTTTTAAACAACAATAATTTTTTGTTAATAATTTAATGGGAAATGTGATTTTATTTGTTTAAACAATATCGATTTAATGTTTTAAAACGAATATCTCCTCAAAATTAAGAATATTTTTAAATTAATTATTAAGATTGTTTTAAAAGAGAATCAAAAGATGGCGCTGATCAACAGATGATAATTAAGTGAAGTGATTTTTAAACAGCAATACTTTTTGTTAATAATTTAATGGGAAATGTGCTTTTATTTGTTTAAACAAGATCGATTTAATGTTTTAAAACGAATATTTACTCAAAATTAATGATTATTTATAAATTAATTATTAAAGTTGTTTAAAAAAAAATCAAAAGATGGCGCTATTGTGATGAATTTCGTAAAAATGAGGAGATAATTAAATTTATTACAAACAAACAAATTAACCTTAATTTCTATTCAATACTAATTAAAATTAAGGTTAATTTATAAATAATATTAGCAATTTTTAGATTATTTGAATTAAGCGAAGTTAGCAACCTTGATAACACTAAGTCAAACTTTGACAGTTAATGTGAAAGTGGTTTTTAAGCATTTAAAACGTTTTTAATTAAAAAATGCTTTATTTAATTAGTGTAATTAGATACAATTCGTGAATTTAATACCAAGTAATAAAGGTAAGCGAAATTTATGACTTATTTATTAGAAATATCGTGCTTTAGATGGAATTTTTAACAACATTGCATTTTTTTACAATTAAAAGAAAAATGTGATTTTGTTTGTTTAAACCCGATCGAGTTACAACATTTAAACGAATATCTACTTAAAATTAATGATATTTATTTATAAATTAATAATTAAAGTTATTTTTAAAAAGCACCAAAAGATGGCGCTGACTGCTCAAATTAATTACGTTATTTATTAAGCATTTAAAACGCTTAATTAAAAAAAATGCTTTGTTTATTTTTTTTGCAATTAAACCCAGTTTGTGAATTTACCAAAGTTATAGAAATAAACGAAGTCTTTAAATAACTTTTTATTTTGACATTTAATGTCGATAAAGTAGATGTCTTTTTAACGATTATAAAACATAACCTTATCTTATCATCATCTGTCATCATAATGTAAAAATTAGAAATAAATTAATTGAGATAAAAACTAAAAACCAGCCGAAAATGCACCCCTTTTAAAACCAAACCAAGCGTAATCAACTAAAATGCAGATAAGCATCGATATTGGTAACCAAAAACCTCACGATGGGCCGAAAGATTCGTTTGCTTCCAGGTATTGTTCGATAGCGCGTTTCCTCTACCTTGTGATACTCCTCTTCGTGATAACGGCCGTTTTATATTTATGCAAGCACTATTTACGAACCGTACTGTATTGGTTAGAAAATCAAGATTCCATCATCATATCGTCTACGATTATTGTGTTATTTGTAATCGTGTCGTTTCCGTTAAGTGTAGGATATATAGTGGTTGTGGGGGCTGCTGGTTACCTTTTTGGAATACTAAAAGGTTTTTGTTTGTCGGTTGTTGGGGCGAACATCGGGATTTTAGTGGCTCATAATGTGATTAAATTGTTGGGGCATCACCAAAAAGTGAGACGACTCATCGATAATGAAACGTCCGCGGCGATAATGAGGGTGTTATCGGGGCCCTCTTGTTTCAAAATAGTGTTGTGCGCGAGATTAACCCCGATACCTTTCGGTTTGCAAAACGTTATTTTCGCTTTGAGCAATGTGAACACTCAAATTTATCATTTCGCGTCGTGTATTGGGTTGTTTGCTGGCCAATTTATGGGGGTTTATGTTGGATCGACGTTGAGGTCGATGCAAGATGTTTTGGAAAATCAACATTTTTCAACTGGGACGTATATTTTTGCTGGGGCGCAGGTAAAAATTAACTTAATTAAAACGAAAATTAAATGAAAAAATTTTTAGCTTGTTTTAGCTGCTGGATTAATTGTTTGGTTTGGTGCTAAAGCTAGGAGTGAACTTTTAAAAGCACTAAATGAAGCTGAAAGTAAATTACCTGTTGGGGAAAAAACTACAAAGGCTGGTTTTAATTTAGTTTGAGGTTAAGATGTTTTTTTTGGGGATTATATTTATTAATTTTTGGAATGTACTTACATTAATTTAAGTAAAAGATAAGACTGTCTTCAAGAAAACAATATAAGTATTTTTTTGGATTTTTTGATTATTTCAAACACCATATTCCTTTTTCTTGATGAATACAAGATGTGTAGGTAACTCATAGGCTATTTGCTTCTTAATTACTTAACTACTATCATCACCTCCACTGTAGAAATGTATATTCTTTTATTTCCCTTTCCTTTCTTTGTTAGTGTCAGAACACAGATCTCAATATTACTTTTTTCAGTTCTCTAAAGAGTTCTGTTTGTTTTGTGCTAATGTCTTATACAGAGTGGTTCAGTTTTTAATTAGGAAACTTTACTAGGATGTAATATTAAAAAAATATATATAAATACTAGAAATGTCATTTCAAAACTTTCCACCTCAATTTCTGTAAATCCGGAAGTTTAAAAAGAAAATCGCTGAAATAGGTAAAGAATAAAACCAAGGGGGACAACTTTTTATGCAAAAATTGACTCACTCACTTCAACCCCCCGCCGCACAGTGGTCCACAAGCGGTAAAATGTGAACGAAAATCAAATTTTCGAAATTTTTTTTTTCCTATCTTTTTACATGTTACATGTATTTTAGGTCCTAATAGACTGAGAGGTGAAAGGAATAAAGTCTTATGTACTTTCTAGTGCCAACTGTACGCAATAAAACAGTACTACAATTCTTGTGTATTAAATATCATAAAATGCTACAACTTTAGATGAAGAAAATATATTGTGTTCCACTTTTTCAAGACAAGGCGTTGTTGCTATCTTGAACAGTATAGAAAGGTCTTCATTTGGCACTTTTCTAATTTTTAAAATATTTTTGTAGAAATACGTAATAAGCACTTCTTTTAAAGCTAATTAACACCTACTTGAAGTTACAATATAACATATATATCTCGCAGAAGACGCAAGAAGAACTTTTGTCGCTAGAATATTCTTATTCTTTGAGATGTGCTTTATATAACATGATAACCACATCTTGCTTTAACTTGCTCCTTACCAAAATATTAGCGATCAAAGATGATCAGTGCCTGAGTGTTATTTGACTGTTTTCATATAAAATGCTTATATTCTTTTTCTTAAAAAATAAATCTCGTATATTTGGTGTAAACCCGCATAACAATAATAGAATACCAGACTTAAAGTTTCAGGCATATCTAACAACCGGAAGTGGTTGTTAGATAAAGTGCGGCAAAAAACGGGAACACTTGAAATATCTACTTTTTTTATAAGTACGAAGGTACTAAAACTAGTACTAACTCTTAACTAACTAAACTGCTTCGAAGTGTTTCTGAAGAAGGTTGCAACATGGCATCCGAAACGTTAAACCTTTTCTTAGAAGACGCACGGCAAAACCCGAAAGTTTCTAGTGTTAGTTGATGAACGGTAGAGCTAGAAGGTTTTAACTTTGATTTGTCTGTTCTCCACGCATACATTGGGTTTTTTGTGTGTCATATAGATTAAAAATTAGAACTTGGAAGGTGACTGGTTCATACGTACTTTTATTAAATTATCATCAGAGATTTCATTAAACAGTGGGTACAATATTAATTGCAATGAATTTGATAAATACTGTTTCAAAACTGCCGAAAAGTACGTCCATTTTATGATTGGTACTATATGCCAACCAGCGTTCATAAAATTTTGATACATAGATCTGCAGTCATTAAAGAACCTCTACTACCTATTGGAGAGTTGTCGGAAGAAGCGCAAGAAGCTAATAACAAACAAATCTGAAAATTTAGAGAGAGCCACACAAGGAAATGTAGTAGACTAGATACGAATGAAGATCTGTTTAAAAGACTGCTACTCAGCTCAGATCCATTTATAATTAATTTTCAACAGCACATTTCTAGAAAACATAAAAAGATGAGTATGGAGACTAAAAGATTACTTATAATAGACAATGTAGAAGACCAGGAAGAAGAAAAAGATCGCGAAGAAGAAGATGAATATGACGAAGAACAAGAATCAGAACAAGAGCTATATACGGCAGGATGCAACGAAGATGAAGATGACGAAGAATGGTCTGAAACAGAACAAGAAGAAACACACATTGTTAAGCAACGTAGATAATTTATAGAGAATTAAATTCTCTTTCTGATAGGCTAAAAAAGCCTGGTGCGTTCCATTTAAAATTTTCTAGAAAGAGAAACAATAATTCAATTTTTGACCAGCCTGTATAAGATACTCCGATACAACAAATGACAATCTATTTGACAGCATCTGAAGAATAATCGTACCAATTTAGACCTTTTTTGAATGAACGTTGGCTGAGATATGGGGTTTTAAACAGCATGGTGAAATTTACCAAAAAAAGTTTAGAACCAAAATAACTTGAAAACGAAAAACGCTAGGTACCAATAACTTTTATCAAAGTTAACCTATT